GTCTACTACTTTCTAACATGGAGCCAAGATCAGACAACATTTTCAGCAGAACCAGTGTGACTAATATATACAGCAGAACAAACTGACATTTAGCTTTTAAAAGTAACGTATAAATACAAGTGGAACTCATGGATGTATTGATTGTTCGTTGATCCTAAGGACATTAGCCACAGGATCAATACATATACACACACAGGCTTAATGTGAAGCAGTCATTTCTGAGGCAAGGTTAAAAATGGCAAATTCAACAAAGGGCAGAATCAGAGAATTAGATAATTTCACAATTGGAAGGGGCCTTAGTGGTCATCAGTCCAACCAATTCCTAGAAAAGAATCACCTCTACCACAGACCTGACAAGTGGTTATCCAATCTGTTCCTAAAGACCTCTATTGAAGGGGAAACTAACACCTTGTGTGGCAGTCCATTTTACTCTGGGACAATTCTAATAGTTAAAAAGTCTTTCTGGACGTCAAACCTCAATTTACCTCTTTGTAATTTCCTCCGATTGCTGCCCCTGGGGGCCAAAAAGAACAAATCTAACCCCTCTTTCATATGACAACTCTTAACATAATTGAAGACAGTTATCACGTTCCTCCTGATATCTTTTCTTCCACAGCCTAACCATCCCCATTTCCTTTAACCAATCTTTTATATCTTGGACTTAAACATCCACTTTGATCTCTCCTGGATAGTCTTCAAGTTACAAAGGTTATTTTGAAAAGGTAGTGCCTAGAACTAAACACAAAACTTCAGACCTAGCCTGACCAGGGTACAGCACAGAAGAAATAGCATCTTCCAATTCCCCTTAATGCAGGCCAAGATCACATTAGTTTTTTCGGTTGCCATATCTCACTGTTGCTTCATATTGACCTCGCAGGCCACTAAAACCCCCAGATCTTTTATAGACAAACTGCTGTATTACCCAAGGCTCCCTCACTTTGTAACTGGGCAACCAAGTGTCAGACTTTACATTTATCTCTATTATATCTCATCTTCTTAGATTCTGTCCAATTTCCTAGCCAGTCAGGATCTAGAAGTTTCCTCCATTATCCCAGAGTGATAACCACCGTCCCCAAATGTATACATACATATATATATATATAGTTCTCCATACCTCTAAAAATAGGGAAACAAATATACTGGAGAAGTCCTTTTTAGGTTGATGATTTCAAAGAAATACAATCACAAAAGAGATGAATTCTTTTAAAAGACAAACGTGAGCCAAAAATGAAACTTGTTCCAATAAGAATTATGAGCCTAGAGGCTTGGCCAACACTGAAACATAGTATTTCCCATTCAAGCTGAGCTGAAGGAAATCATTCTGCCCTCAGCAAAGCAGGCTTTGCCTTGGGTCACTGCTGAATCTGGTCTTCTCTTTCTATATGTGTCTCAGAAGCAAAGAAAAAATGCATTTCCTGCCACAGAGATCCCACTGATAGCAGGGACCCACTGACGGCAACTGGACAAAGAAGCAAAAAGTTGGATGGGAAAAACTTTTTAGGAGTTTGGAGAACTGCTATAAGTTGTTTCCACAGCTAAGTTTAACGCTCTATGAGAACAAGACTGCCAGGGTCCAGATACATAGCTTCTTACTTTCCTGCAATAAAGCCAGGTTCAGCATCAGTTCTAGCGACTTCGTGCATGTCTATCTTCATTCAAGGAAGGATCAACCCAAGAGCCAGAAGCTCTGTCCCTCGTCCCTCTCCTGACTGCTGAAGGTGGATCCTTTTCAACGAGTATTTGCTTATTCTGGGCTTTCTTTCTGTGAGCCAGGTACTTGGTTAGACACTGACATTACATAAGCAAAACAAATCAGTCCCTGCCCTCAAAGAGTTTACATTCCACTACGGGAAACTACATGTATTTGATAAACAAATCCAGGATATACTTTGTAAATACAAAGTAAACCAGGGAGGGAAAAGAGGACTCAACAATTAAGTGGAATCAGGAGAGCCCTTGTGTAAGAGATGGCATTTGAGCTGAGGCTTTAGGAAAGCTAGGAATTCAAAGGGGCCCAGATGAAAAGTGAGCACATTTCAGGTGTGAGGGATAAAGATGGGAAACAGAATGACACATGTGGGAAATAGCAGGTAGGTCAATTAAACTGTAATGCAGATTGCACAAAAAGGGAGGGATGATAGACACTAGGCTCAGAAAGTAGGTTTTAAGCTAGATCAAGAAGGGCTTTAAATGCCACACAAAGACATTTGTAGTTTATTCTAAAAGCAGTGGGGAACCACTGGAGCTTTCTGAGCAGTGACTGACATGGCCACCCTTGCACTTTAGGCAGCTGGGTGGTGCTGTGGATGGGACCTGAAGTCAGGAACATCAGAATTCAAATTAGACCTCAGACACTTACTAGCTGTATGACCTTGGGCAAGTCATCTGTCTGCCTCTGTTTCCTTAACTGTAAAATAGGGATAATAATAGCACCTGCCACCCAGAGTTGTTCTGAGGATCAAATGAGATAGTACTTGTAAATCTCTTAGAGATTTACAGAGACTGGCATATAGTAAGTTTTTGCTAGTATGTTAGTAAATGCTGGTTATTTTTATCATATTAATCTACTAGGTTGTAGAATATGGATTAGAGGGGAGAGAATGGAGGCAAAGAGACCAATTAAGAGGTTATAAAAATAGTCTAGGTGAGCAGTGAGGAGGGCATGAACTTGAGTGGTAGTTGTCTGAATGGAAAGAAGGGGACAGAGGGGTCACTGCTGGGAAAATAGAGCAGACAAGGCCTGGCCACTCATTGGTGAGAGAGAGGAAAGAGTTGAAGGTGTCTCAGATGTTTTGCAAAGCTGGTAACTAGAATGATAATAATGCCCTGGACAAAGAGGAAGTTAGGAAGAATAGTGTTGAAGGGGGGTAGAAGATAATGAGTTCTATCCTGGACATGTTGAATTTGAGATGCTTATGAGACATCCACTTGAAAATGTTCAATGAACCACTGGTGATGTAAAAGTCGAGTTCAGAAGGGAGACTATGGCTGGATATATGGACCTGGGAATCATCTGCACAGAGATCATAATTAAATTGAGGAGAACTGATGAGATCATTGGAAGAGAAGGTGAAGAGAGAAGAGAAAAGAAAAAAAAAAAGAAGAAAGCCCTAGAGTACACTCACTTAAGAGGGGGACAACACATAAACAATGATCCAGCAAAAGAGTCTGAGAAGGAATGGCCAGACAGGCAGGAAAACTAGTAGAGGACAGTGAAAACTCAGGGAGCAAAGAATAGCCAGGAGGAAGGGTGGTCAACAGAGTCAAATACAGAAAAGTCAAGGAAGGTGAAGATGGAGAAAAGGCCATCATCTCTGGCAGTTAAGACATCATTGGTAACCTTGAAGAGAACAATTTTAGTTGAGCGATAAGGTCAAAAGCTAGATTGCAAATAGGTGATAAGTAAATTAAAAGGGAAGAAGTGGAGACAAGGGATGTGGACAGCTTTTTCTTGGAGTTTGGAAAGGAAGACAGAATTGAGGAAGACAGCTAGAGGTGTTGGGTGGGTCAAGTAAGTTTTTACGAGGAAAGACTGAAGATTAGAGATGGAGAGAGTACAGATCAGAGATGGGCAGAGATGAGATCAAGGGCACAAGCAGAGGGCCTTGGTGAGAAGAGAATGACCTCTTTGTCAGAGACTGACCATGTCACTCCTCTACGCAATGAACTCTCATAGTTTCCTATTGCCTAGAATCAAATAGATGCTCCTCTATTTAGCTTTTATAGCCCTCCATCGCCTTGACCCAACTTATCTTTCCAGACTTACTACATTACTTACTTCTCCCCTCCTCCCCTCCCTCAGTGTTCTTCAATCCAGACAAGCCCTTCCTCACCAACTACATGTCACCGTATCTCTTCTTTCTCTGCCTTTGCACTGGCCATCCCTCATGCCTGGGATGCCCTCCTTCCTCACCTCCACCTCACAGAATCCTTCTCTTGGACTGTTGTTTAAGCACCATCTTCTAAGTGGAACTTGTCCTGATCCCCTCTCAAACTAACTTGTATTTAACTCCTTTGTGTTTATTTGTATTGATTCTCTTTATATATATATTCTGTATTATACATATATATATATATATATATATATATATATATATATATATATCTTTTATCCTCTCCTCAGTTAGAAAGTCAGCTCCAGAGGGGATTATTTAACTTATTGTATCTGTCTCCCTGGTGTCAAGCACAGTGCCTGATACTTGGGCACTTAATAGAAGCTTGTTGAGAGACTGCTGATTGTAGTGGAGATGCAGACTAGGGCAGGAGAGGAGGGGGACTCTTTTCTCAGTAAAGTGTGAAGATTAGGTAATATAAACTATAAATCTGGAGTGGCCTCAGTTGGCATAGCATTGTACAGCCTTCCTGTTCTTTACCATAATTGCTCATGTCTGCCCAAGGGTTCTGAGCAAAGGGAAATCCAGGTTCTAGTAAGGGCTTCAAGCACAGTTTTAATCTAGCAGTTCACTGACCTCATTTACTAGCTCAACTCCCCACTGCTGAGAGATTTTAAGCCACAGAGTCTACTTATTTAGAAATAGCTCATATTTTAAAAAACAAACAAACCCAACCAAAAGAGAAACATCCACCAAAGAGAGAATATGATTATGCAAGGCTCAGTTGTACCCATGACAATAAAGCTAACCATTAAGCCCATTGCTCTAGTAAGAGCAATGATGGCCTGGATTTCTCAGCAAAGCGCAAACTCAGTAACGTCAGGAAAGAGGTGTCAGGCAGCCAGCCTATGGAGCATCTGGCTTCTCAGGAAACACTGCTGTCACCCGACCCTAATCACATCACAGGCTTTACCTCTCCTAACAGCATGGTAACCTCATCAGATTTCCCACCAATGTCAAGACTAGCCCACAAAATAGATTGTATCAGATTAATTTTAAGCAACGGCTTAGACAGGATAGAATAACAAAACCAAGACAGTCAGCAACTGGAAAGATATGGTAGGAACCACAGTCAATGTTAAAGAAAGCAAAGGTCATTCTACTCACTGTACAAATCTGTTTCATCCAGGATCTCCGACTTGATGATTTCTTCAATCACATCTTCCAAAGTGACAATTCCCAGCACTTCATAGAACGGATCCCCTTCTCCCTCATTGTTTACCCGCTGCACTATGGCCAGGTGAGATTTACCTTCAGGGAAAAATAGAGTAGTTTAAAAAGTTTCCAAAGCTAAAAAGAACTTCAGAGGTATGCAAATCTTATTCCAAAGTAAAGTAAAATCAATAATGAATTATCAACATGAACATCGGCATTGTAAAATGGATGTAGGTGGATAGAAAGCAAGTCAAGACAGTCAAGCATTCCAAGCTTTCCAAAAGTGAGGCCCACTAAGCCAAAACAGTTGTCATTTCTTTATCAATTCAATTAGTGCTTCATAGTTCTCTCCTTTTTAATGGATCTGGTCTTCAGCAGTTATCAGCTCCTTCTATAGGAAGATCTCTAACATCTGTCCCCTCCTTTTCATTCCTACTGTCATGGCCTTTGCTTAGATTCTCACTGCCTCACACTTGGACTACTCTAATAGTTTCTTAACTAATCTCTCTGGCCCCAGTCTCATTTCCTCCTATCTGCTCTACAGAGGCTGCCAGACGCATCTTCCTTCTTTCATCATGTTACTCCTCCTTGCTTATGCCTACTTTGATACCTCTATCCATGTTACTTACCTCACATGGACTGCTCTTCCCCTCCTACCCAAATCCTACCTATCCTTCACCTTTAAGGTCAAGTCATGCCTCCTCCGGGAAGCCTTGTGTGTGATTATTCCAGCCAGAAGTTCTCTCATTCTCTGTTGAGCCTCTACAGCATTTATTGTCTATACTCTTCAGCTGGAGGCATGTAAATTGAACATATCATAGCACCTAGATTTATGTATCTATATCTTATTTGCTCACCTTAAATGTAAACTCTCTAAAGGGAAGTCACTTACTCATCTCTATGCCCGTCTCCATCACCACCACCACCACCACCAATATCTGGCAAAGGGCTTAAATTACTCAATAAGTACTTCTAAGTGACAGTATGGCATAATGGTCAGAGGGCTGGATTTGGTATTAGGAAGACCTCAGTTCATGTCCTATCTCAGATGCTTACTAGCTATGTGACCCTAGACAAGTTGACCTCTTTCATCTTCAGGTGCTCATCTGTAAAATGAGGAGGGTTGGCATTGATAGTCTCAATGGTCCCTCTCAGTTTGAAACCTATTCCTACATGTCTATGAGCCTATAACAAACAGAAATTCTCTCAGGCTCCATCACAGATTAGAGCATCTAAAACAAACATGCTATCACTTCTTGTTGAAACTCAATATATGAAGGTGGCATTTAGCCCTGAAATGAACAGAACTTTATGTATAAGATAATTTAAACTGTTATATTTTAAGTTCTAAATGGAAGGTCATTTGTCCTTTACATGTACATTTAGATCTGTCAGTGTTCAATCATGATTAGAGCACAGATCTATCCAAAACCTATGCTGGCCATTTCCATCTCTATCCAAGAAAACTTGCTCAATTATATGACCAAACAGCCTGGCTATTTCTTTTTTGAAGAAAGTGTGGCAGGGGACATTCCATAGAACATATGTACAGATAGTCCTATGCTCTGTCCCTTGCTAAAGGGCAAGTGAAACCCATCAATTCCTGATTGGACCTCCAGTGTGCCCTTGACTGGCAGTGGGGGTGTGGGGGTCATCAAAGAAGATTGGGACTCAACCAAGAGAAGCTACCCCATCAGCAGGATATAATAACTGTGAAAAAGCTCTTTGCACATCCAGGCCAGCTACATTTGCATTTTCAGAAAAGGACTGAGAGCGTTTCTTTCTTTTCTCTTCCTCCCTACACAAAGGCCATGGTGGTCCTCAGCGAACACATGGCAATGGTGATGAACAAGGGCTTGCCGAGGAAAACTTGAAATAGGACCTCAATTTCCTGCCTGTCTTCTGTTTTGTATTTCTTTCTTTGAGGACAGCTCACCAAACAGTTATCCCATAGGAAGGGAATTTCCAGCCTCAGAGGCTACCTTTGTGAAACTCAGAGGTCCAGAGTTCTCGAGTCAGAGCTGGCTGCCTAGCAGGAGACGGCTCCTGCAATTATACCCTTCTCAGAGAAAATGACCACTGCCAGGAACATGCAAAGACTGAAAGGTCTGAGAAAATCCAAGCTAATGTTGCCTGACCCGAAAATCACAATTTTGTGGGTTGTACTGTCTAGCACATCTTTGGGGTGAATACAAAATATCTTTTCAGCAATTCTGCAAGCTTTGCAGAAGACTTCACCTCTCAACAGAGTACAATAAAGGCCATAGGTTATTGTTTCATGCTGGAAGTATTTATTAATGCACATTTATGAGTCTTTTGTGTTTTAAACATTTGTTCCATGGTAAAGGAAATAAATAGATGCCCCATGCCTGACATCTACCACTTTGAACAATTAAGGATATTACAAAGTGGTAGATAGCAGACTCTGGGCTGATATCTGACACCATTAACAAATTTTCCCTTTGGGGGAGACCCTAGGCATGAGCCATAGTCAAGTTCTGTTTTAGAGACTTCCCCTCTCCTCATCCAAGACCTTATTTGAGCTGGTGGCATAATGAGCCAGAGAGAAACAAGAAAAGGAATCTTTTGCAATTAGGATCTCTCTAGGATGAATCCAGATCTGTGGGAGTCCAGACCAGGAGTCCTTTCAAGGAAGCCCAATGGGCCACGGCTAACAAAAATTCATTAAAACTATAGATAAAGTAAGTTCACCCTGTAACCTCCAGCTGAGCCAGATCTGCTCAGGCTCCCAGCACCAACTATCCTCTCAAAATTGGCTTTGGGTCTGGAGGCAATATTTTCTGTTCTCCCAGCACTACTCTTAACCCTGTGACCTCAGAGTAGCTTCTAAAGGGGCCTGAGAAGATTACCCCAAGAGCTCAGTTTCTTTGACTTCAACCCCTGTCTAGGCAATCAGGTCTACAAGCACAGAAGTTCAAATTGTTAGACAAACAGGCATCCTAACAATTTCCATTTCAGACCCACTCATGTTCAAAGAATGAAAATATTTTGAGCAAATTAGACTAGGGAGGAAACTTATCAAGGACCGATATAAACACTACATCAGGTCAAGCCTATTCAGTCCGGTGAAGTTTTTCACATCTGCTTTCCCAGGCACCCACCATAAGCAGTTAAAAATTCTTGGTGAATGCTGTCTGTCGAAAGTTACATTCTTTTGCTATTCCCAGCTTGTGATCATTTAAAAGGAATTTTCCAAAGCAAGGTCTAATATTAGACTCAAAATGAAGTTTCCATTCCTCTGAGGTGCTATTCTCACCAAAGTAACTACTGCATAATCTGATTGTCTTGGAGCAATTCGTTTAAATGCAGATGGACATATTTTAAATACCAACCCCCACAACACCAAGGGATCTGAAAGACCATACTCAAGAAAAAATTGTTCATAGGAGCTGTGTTTTTTTTCAATGTGAAATTATTGAAGGGATTAAAGCAATGACTAAAGTCAAAGCCCATTTTTTCTCCTATCTCACTGTCTCTCACACATTCCCAACCCTATCAAGAGCTTCCCTGGTTAGCCTCTGCGGCCATAATCTTTCTGTTTGCTTTGAGATTGCTGGTGAGACATACATAGTACTTTCTCAACCTTTCCTCTTCCTTGAACTAAAAATGGGCCCAGGAAATGAGGTCTTCTTCCCTGCATTAATAATTTCTGAGGATGACAATGCAATTCATTTTAACTGTGTTACCATCTGCTGCCGAGAGCAAAATGTTCTGGCCAAATCAAGGTATTCATCAAAAGGGAAATGTCAAGGTGAATTCAAGAGTTAGAATTACTATGGATAAATCAGAAATATTTTGCAGATTCAAAAAATAGAGGAACTGAGTTCCACCAGGACCCTTCTGGATTCCAATCCTGTAAATAATGAGTTATTAAGGATTTAATGGTAGAAGAAGGGACTTGGGGGAAACTGAGCAAGAACTGATAGATTCCTTGATTCTAAGAAAAGGACAGAGAACAATCAGTAAAAGCAATTATCTGACACTAAAGGTAAGTAGAGCAATCAGATCATATGACCTGAAGGAGACAGATGTCTGTGAAATATAGACATGTTCATGAAACACATGTAGCATAAATTATTCCTTTCCCTAGTAAGCAGGTGATAGAGACGTTCTTACCGAGCTAAGAGAAATAAGCATCTAGCCCTGAAAACTTAGAGTGAGTTGGGGTTCTCCTGAAATTTCTCCCATTCAACTGATTCCCAATTTCCCCTTTCCACTGTCATTTTTAGACTTGAGGTTCTGAAAGTGGGGCCATTTCCTGCAATCCCAGAAGGGAGAGAGGTTAGAGATTATCTTGTCCAATTTATTCATTTTGCACTAGAGGAAACTCTTTTGGGGATACACCCAAGCCAGCCTTTCCTTGCACTTCCACCAAAGGAAGAGATTTCTCTCCTTTCCCTTCCCCCCTCCCACAGAGGCCATGGGCCCACAACAAATACATGGCAATGGCAGTCTACAGGTACCAGCCTAGGCAAGCCCAAGATAGGACCTGAAGTCACTGACTGTTACTTCTGCTTTGTATTTCTTTCTCTGATTCCGAGACATGGACATGTCCTGAGGTTGAAAGTACCTAAGGCAAAGCTGACTGCCCCAGGGGAGGTACTTCCTTTAACAATGCTCTTCTCCAAAGAGATAACCACCGAGCCATCATCTAGTCTTGCTCCCTGGTTTTGTCGATGAGGAAACTAAGCACTGAGATCCACCAGTATTTGCTTAAGTTCATATAAGTAGAAAATGACTGAACTGAACAATGAACTCGGGTCTTCTTACTCTCAACCCAGTGCTCTTTTGAGTTGACATGCCCCAAAGTATTCACTTAACATCCCCATCAGTGGTGATCATTCCCCTCAGACCTTGGGGTACTGTTTTATATACCTCTAAAGCACATGGACCTTGTTATATGTTAAGAGTTATTTGTGTATGTGTCTTCATGGACTGAATCACTATGGATGAAGGAAAGAAAAAGAAGGAGGAGAAGGAGGAGGAGGAGAAGGAGAAGGAGAAGAAGGAGAAGGAGAAGGAGAAGGAGAAGGAGAAGAGAAGAAGAAGAAGGAGAAGGAGAGGAGGAGGAGAGG